GTATGAGTAAAATTTAAAACCACATACGATTTCTGAACAGAAAGATGAACTAAAGAAAAGTTTATATCAGATAAACAGAAAACTGATAAAAATGGAAAACCAAATAACAAAATTACCTGATTGGCCAAACCATGCAAGGGACCGGCTAAACCATTCAAAGCAGCCGCAAATGCAAGGTAAGGATCTGATAGAGGACTAGCGACCTGAGGGGTAAACATAGTACAGTATATTAAAAAAAACAATAAATATAAGAAAAACACAGGCCTTTACCACAGCCCAAGTGATTCATATTAAAAATACATGTTATTAGTATTTAATAAAGAAAAAATAGTACAGGATAGAAAGAGCTTGATTAAAGGAAGTAACTTACTAGGTGAGCTGTGTGCGAACTAACATTTCCACCTTCATGATCACTGTAAACAAAATTTTGGTAAAAAAAAAATTAAACATTAGAAACTGCAATTGCCTGTAATTAGAAGAGAACTATACAACTTCTCACTATCAATGTACGTGTCATCATTAGCAAAATAACTGGGGTTGCTGTAATTGCAGGAGCCATATACAACTGATCATGATCATAAAACGGTCATCATTAGCAATGGAATGCAAACCTGTGGATGGAAATATAAAGCCTCATGAACTCCAGCATTTCTGGATCATCAAACCCTAACATATGAGCATAGTTTGCACCATAATCCAAAGAATCATCCAACGGTATGATTTTTCCATCCTTGTATTTCCTTTAAAATAACAAGTTTATTCAATTGTCAGATGCTAGTAGAAATCTGTCAATTTTGATCAAGTCATCACACAATATATGATATTATGATATCTCTCATTGTTCTTCTTTTGTGTGTGTGTGTATCATATAACACATCCCATAGAATATCAAATGTGTAATTTTGATTAGGATGGATATGCTTTACATACCGTCGATAAATATAAGCAGCAATGGCTGGCAATCGTGCAATTAAATTCAAGGTGTCCTCATAAGTTGGTTCCCAATACCTAAATCCAAGCAGTAAAACAGCTAGAGTAACATATAATGTTGGAAATAAAATAAACACCATTTAGAATTTTACCTTGCCTTAGCTATCCCACTCTCATAAGCTTTCTGAAACTCACTTTGCACCTGAAAAACGTAATGAATTGATTGTGAATCAATTGTTTCTATTTACAAGAAAAGGTGAAGAGAAACGATTATCATAGAAAAGAGGTTAGGAGCTTCTTAAACTTGTAAAGTGTGAGAATAGTAGGTGGAAAATCCTCTGATCTGTCCAGCTTAGAAATGAACAGATAGAGCCCACACTGTGACTAAAGAGGAATGATCTGAGGAAAACCCATAATGACCCAGATACATGCAATCTGGATTGATGAAACAAGTTATTGATTGTCTGATTATTAATAGTTTATTGAACGTAGTTATTGACTCTGACATGTTAAAGGTGGGCAAACCACTTCCAAACAAAGGAATACGGGTTCCATTCAACTTAGATGTAAATTACTTCCAGAGTAGGATAAATGGATAAGAACATAGTGTTATATTATCCAGGTACAACATGGAATTTGCCTTCCACCTATAGTTACTTCATGTCTTAAATCTCAAATCTTGAGATACCTCAAGAGTATCCTCCGTCCATCTTCCAAAGCCTGGCTGCTTCTTGATTCAGATTTCCCACCATCCAGAAATCCTTCTCACTAAGTGTAGACATCATTCCAGCACATTGAACATACACAGCTGTTACTGCTTTATTATAGCGGTTTAGAATTTAAGTTCAAATGTAAATAGATCCCCAAGCACCACAACCCTTATTGACAAGGAT